CCCCAAAACCCCAAAACCCCAAAACCCCGTATAACTATTAAAATACCGAAATGAGAAATATTGATAATATTCATTAAAGCTAATTATGCACTTGTGAATACAGTATATATATTTGTAGATATAAGGTTTCAGGCATTTTGCTATGGTTTACCTTTATCTGTTAAGTAAATAAGAACTGCCCCAATCATAGCGAATTAACTAGCAATATTGTTAATCTTTTCATTTCTGTATGATGGATTTTAACCGAATTCTGATGGGCAAATGCTAGCATTATCAATGAGCATGACTAATCCCTAGGACAGTAATAAAGTGCATGATCCAAAACATCTGAAATTGAAGAATATAATAAAGATTGCTGCTATGATGAACAGAGATCTAATTAACATTATGAAGTACAAGTATAAATCTAAGTTTCCTCCACCAATCTTTGCAAAAGATCCATTTAAAACTTTTTAATCAATGTAAGCCAGATTAGTTTGGTATTTCAATATTTGGACATCAGTGAACATAGAAAAGCATGTCAAGAGTGCGCAAATACCGAGAAGTATCCTGCCAATCTTAAATGCTCCTATATTTGTAAAGATTCTCTATTTATTAGGGTGTGCCATCAATTTTTTGTCTTTTACAGAATCTGTCATTTTTATTAATATAATTTTAAATTACAGACTAAATAAATCAATTAATTAATAACTTACTCATAGTTTTCGGTTCTCACTTAATTAGTTTTTCTTAAGGAAAAATTGTTCAAATTCAGAGTGCTATTCTAACATCAGATTAGGATTGCTATAAATTTGCTGAGAATTATAGATTTTACAATAGCATTGTGAGAAACATAGAATTCACTAGGCATAATTTCAAGAAACTTGAGATAAATTACCGTTTTAGTGTGGAAAATAGAGTTCTTAAAAACGAGAAGAGTGATATAAAGTTGGTGTAGAGAGAGAACTGTGCAGAACCTCCATGGTGTAAGGGTAGCACATGGGACTCTAAATCCTTTGGTCAGAGTT